CCCCAAAACCCCAAAACCCCAAAACCCCAAAACCCCAAAACCCCAAAACCCCAAAACCCCGAAAAATTCATAATTTGTATATTTTATAAACATTATTAGATAGTGATGGAACAAGTAGGTGATTGAGAACAAAGATTCTTCTTTGCTGATAAGGAAGAGAGCAAGACTATCCCTGAGGCAGAATCTAAGAGTGTTCTGTCTTGAGAATATATGATTTGGAGTAGGATTTCTAATGGCCTTTTTGATTATGAGAGCAATCAAAAGTAAGTACCTATCAGCTTAATTTGGAATAGTGATATAAAAGCTGATGTCTTTGCGATTAAATAACAAAGGGCTTATTGTCAATTCTAAGGCTCGGATTACTCATATTCCTCATTTGAAGGATGGAAAATGGATTGAAAATGAGGAAGATCCTAAATCACTTGCTTATGTTGAGCAATTAGATAATAATGAGTTTATAATAAAACCGGTGTACACAACTTCTTCTATTAATAATAGATTGTGGCAGATCGTGAGAGGGAATCATTTTGAACCTGGCCAAGCTGGGTACATCATTAAGCCCAAAGATATCATAAAAATAGGAAGAATTTCTCTTAGAGTGAGAGAACTCGTTACTGATAATGTTGAGTCCTTTGTATCCATTGATGAAGAGCTGGAAGACTGTGTTAAACTTATGAATGAGCCTGATAATAACGAAGCATGCAAGTTCTGCTGGATGAATGAAGAAACTGAAGATAATCCAAAGCTTTGACCATGCTCATGAACAGGTTCGATGAGATACATTCATATTAACTGTCTCAGACATTGGATAGACTCAAGGAAGCAGACTAAAGGTGAAAATGGAGTGACTTCAGTAATATGGAAAAGCTTTGATTGAGAAATCTGTAAGAAGCCATATCCTTCTTTATTTGAGTACAAAGGGAAAAAGTGGAGTTTGCACTCTCTCTTTGAGAAGGATAGGGATAACCTTCAGAAACCTTATATTATACTAGAAAGTATGAAATGAAGCAGAAATTCAGGAAAAGTAATTCACACACTAAAATGGAATAACAGAATTATTCCGTACAAGCTTGGAAGAGGTCACGAAGCTGATGTTCGAGTCACAAATGATATTTCTGTTTCCCGCTTGCATATGCAGTTGAGTTATCAGAATGGAAATTTTATTATCAAGGATTTGAAGTCCAAGTTTGGTACCTTGGTACTTGCAAACAAATTTATCAAAATCAGCAAAGGCCAACATTCTACTATACAAATTGGGAGAACAGTGATGTCATTTACTGTCCAGGATCTAACAAGGTTCAATACTGGAGCTTTTGGACCTAAGAATTCTGATTGTAAGTATTTAAATACTTTTCTGTCTGAGTTTGCTAATGTGGTGTATAGCTCTTGACATCAAATCCTTCTTTGAGCGAGATTTTCACATCCCATACTTTGGGATGCCAGAGGGACAAGAAAATGTTAATCTTCCACAGGAAGGTAATGTGTAGATGTAAAATTTAGACATCGTTAAAAATATTCCCCAGTTCAAGGTACATAGTAATACACCTGTAATGAAGGGTACCCTCCTTCCTCCTGCTGAATACCAGGTCGATATGGAACGGCTGCAAGAGGAAGAAGATAGAAGAAGGGACTTGGATAATATGTAGATTATGCCAATAATAGTATATGCCTAATCTATATATCGAAAACATTGACACCATTTAAATACTTTCCAAACAGTAAAATGATTTAAGTTAAGGGTTCTTACAGATCTGGTGAAATAAGAATTACTGACATTTTCAATTCATTTAAGTGCTATTGGGGTTTTGGGGTTTTGGGGTTTTGGGGTTTTGGGGTTTTGGGG